TTGATAAGCCCAAAAAGCCCAGTTTCTGGCTTTGGGGAGCATGGCTGTTAACCCCTTCTCCTCCACCAAGCATTTAGGTCCAGCTCAGGGCAAGGGGGAACCCTGGTGGCACAGTGGTTAAGAGCTCAGCTGCTAACCAAAAGGTTGGCAGTTCGAATCCACCAGCCGCTCCTTGGAAACCCTATGGGGCAGTTCTGCTCTGTCTTATAGGGTCGCTCTGAGTCAGAATCGACTAGACTGCAATGGGTTTGGTTTGTTGTTTTTTAGGGGCAAGGGTGAGTGGGGGACACAGGCATTAGGCTGCCCCCATCTGAATGGTCACTGCACCCCTCCCAGCAATAAGCCTGTGCTGGCACATAGTAGGTGTTCAAGAATTGCTTGTTGAATGAAAGAATGAATAATGATCAGAAAGGTAAATCCTACAAGATTCATTCATTCATTTAAAAATATTTACTGAGTGTCTCACCAGGCTAGGCACTACCCTAATGACAGGAGAACAAAAGAAACCAAGGCCCTGTTCACATGACGCTTACCTTCTAGCAGAGAGAGACAAACACTATACAAACTAGAGATGGAATACAATGTCGCACAGTGGTGAGTGCTAGGAAGGAAGTAAAGGCAAGGAGATTGAGAGTGATCAATTGAGGTGATTCTTTCAACTGGGTGCTTGGGAAGGCCTCTCAGACAAGATGACATTTGAGCCGAGATGCGAAGGTGATGAAGTTGCCAGAGAATGAGCCATGCAGCCATGTTCACTCCATTTAGGAACAGTAAGTACAAAGTCCCTGAGGTAGGAGTGGCCTTGGGGAGTTCAAGAAGCAGTAAAACAACCAGATAAAGTGGATGAAGGAGGGTCCTGGCATTACCTTAGAGCGATGATACTCAAACATGAGCATGAATCCAAATCACCGGGAGGGCCTATGAAAGATTGGGGACCTACCCCCAGTGTTTCTGATTCAGTCGGGTGGGGGTAGGGTCTGAGAAGATGTATTTCTAACAAGTTCCTGGGTGATGCTGATGCCACTGGTCCAAAGACCACAGCGTAGGGTATTTGTTCTTATGGCATCAAATCCTTTCCTACTTAGTAATACCCGCCATCGTAGATAATCATTGCTTGCTTACTATCCACCCCCTCCACTGGACTAGAAGCTCCATGAGAACAGCACCTATATACCAGGGACTGCCAAAAGAATGACCAAATCAGTCTTAGAAGAAATACAACCAGAATGTTCCTTAGAAGCAAGGATGGCAAGACTTCGACTCACTTTGGACACATCATCAGGAAAGACCAATCTCTAGAAAAGGACATCATGTTTGGTAAAGTAGAAGGTCAGTGAAAATGAAGGAAACCTTCAATGAGATGGATTGACACAGTACCCACAACAATGGACTCAAACACATCAATGATCATGAAGATAACGCAGGACTGGGCAACGTTTGTTCTATTGTACACAAGGTCACGATGAGTTGGAGCCAACTTGATGACAGCTAGCAACAAAACAATGTAAACACTAAATAAAATATCTGTTGAATGAATAAATTAATTTCTCAAAGAAGGATTCTATTCTGGGCCTTGTCTTCCTTTCTCTTGCTTTTCTGCTGTATATTTCACTCCAACCAGATGTTTAGGTCAAAAGTTACTTTTCCAGACCCATCTCTTACCTCTCTCATTCACAACTAAGCAAAGAGTGGCACCTTCCACATGCCAGATGCACAGTGCACCCCTACAACTCCATGTCTTTGCCTGTGCTGGTCTCCCTACCCAAAATGTGAATATCAAATATGAGCACAAATATTAAATTAAACCTTTAAAGCACTTAAAACAAGACAGTATACAGTATGCATTCAACACAAGCCAGCTCTTACTGTACCAAACAACAACAACAAAAAAAAAACAAAGCCATTGCCATTGAGTCAATTCTGACTCATAGCTACCCTATAGGGCAGAGTAGAACTGCCCCGTAGGGTTTCCAAGGCTGTAATGTTTACGGAAGCAGACTGTCACATCTTTCTCCCACAGCGCGGCTGGCGAGTTCTAATCACCGACCTTTTGGGTAGCAGCCAAGTGTTTTAACCACTGCGTCACTAGGGTTTCTCTTATGGTTATAGCTGCTCAAAAAGGCTGGGGTTTTTCAAGGGCCCTCGTGGCTCCAAAATTCTCTGGCCACCTTAAACCCAGTGATTATTGGTCATGCCACTGTCATTTTGTCATCAAGAATGTATGAAGGAGCATGGGGACAGAATTCACTATCTCCAAATCACTCTTACAATGTTGCGGACGAAAATCGCTCAGTGTGGCAGCAAGGAAAGGCAGAGAGTGGATACGGTGCCCAGATTCCCTCCCAACAGTCTGAGAGGGAGGTGCAATTATTACCCCACTTGCAGATGAGAAAACTGAGGCTTGAGGCCACCTCCAGATGCAGCTCAGCTACATGGAGCTGCCTTGGGAGGGTGACTCACTCATAAAGGTCTCTGAAGGGATTAATGGGGTCACAGTGAACAGAATGGCCTGAGGAGGATGGGTGGCAGGGAGGGAGGCAGAGAGACCAGGCGGAGGTTTTCTGACTCACCCAGGCCTGAGGTGTCTGAGACAGACTTGAATGATGTCTCCTGTAGGTTAATACTATTCGTCTATATGCATCCCCCTCCTCATGGAGGCAGTTTTGCCCCCCGAAGCATGCTGGGGATGAACTCGGGACAAACTCGGGCTAAGGTACAAGGCCAGGAGTGGTGTGACTGGGTCGGTGGCCAAGGCTGAGGAACGCCTTATCAACTAAGAGAAAAACATCTGAGCCTGGATGTGTAGTCCCTGGAAGCGCTGGCCGCCCAAGGGCTGGGAAGAAAAACTATAAACCCTAGCCCCAGCTGGAACTGTAGATAAGCTTGTGTCCTTTGCTAGGCGGTAAGCGGAGCGTTGAACAGAGTCCGCCGCCGCCTTTGACTGTCCCGTACGTAAGTTCCCCACGTAAACCACACGTCTCTATCGCTGGTTCCGGAGTCTTTCTTTGGTCTCTTATCTACGCGGCGGACCTTGGGTGCAGACACCACTGGGTTATCACTCAACGTCTCCAAAGAAGTCAACTAGGCAAGGGGAATAAAGGAGAGGCAGGTCTTAACCATAATACTGGGAATGAACCCTGAGGAAAGAAAATTCTAGACCTGAACTGAGTTTTACTCGGGCGGGATTAAGGGCTGCAAACTTCACACCCATTAGCATAGTGCGTGTGTGCGTGCACACGCACGTTCCCCTGCACAAGGCTGGTAGCCACCCTAGGACATGGAGCACTGGGAGACTGTTCCAGGTACTGAGGAGTATGTGAGGGCGAGTCCCCAGCACAGGCATCTTGGTTGAGAGGCTGTTCTTCCCTCTCAGCACCAGCCAGCAAAGATCTCAGCGGCCCCAGCAGAGTGGGAAACCAACAAAACCACTTGACCTCAAGTAGATTCTGACTCAGGGCAACCCGATGTGTGTCAGAGTAGAACTGGGAATCATATGCTTTTCAATGGCTGATCTTTCAGAAGTAGATCACCAGGGCTGTCTTCCAAAGTGCCTCTGTGTAGACTCGAACTTCTAACCTTTAGGTTAGCAGCCGAGCACACTAACAGTTTGCAGCACTCAGGGACTCCAGAGTGAGAAAAGGGGGTGTGTTTGGCCAACCTACACCATGATGATAAGCCAGAAGTCTGTCCAGATAAATTTCTTCTCATTCATCCACTCACCAGTCATTTATTGAACACCTACTCTATCCCATGCATTTAGATTCTAGATTCTTTCATTCGTTCAATCCTCACAACAACCCATGAAGTGGGTTCTGTTAGGTTCATCTTTAAAGACGAGGAAATGGGCTCAGGAGTGAGGTGACTGGCTAGGTCAGGAGGAGAGGCCTCTAGCAAAGTTAACGAGTATTTACTGGACCTCTCTGTGGGACAGGCTCAATCACGTGCTTTCACTCAGTACGTGGTATGTGATCCAGTCTCCATTTTACTTCAGAGGAAAAACTTCAAATCCGAGTCCAATAGCTCACCTTCATCCACGTTTATTTAGTTTTCCCCTTTGTTAACAAACACCACTTTAAAGGCTCTCATATTTTAGATTTAAGAGCTCATTGATCATCCTTAAATTTTAAAATTAGATTTCGCTGCGAGATGTGGGACAAGGACTGGATTTCTTGAGGCACCTCATAGCCGCGATCCCTGGGACTTGGGAAGTGAGGCAGCGACACAACTCTCCGCGAAGTCAAAGGAGCTCTAGGACCCGGCTTCACCAACTCCGGCCTCGTCTACTGCGCAGGCGCCGTTCCTGAGCCTCGCTTGCCTCGCCCGCACCCTCGTAGGCGAACCCACTTCCAGTAGGCCAGTGGGGTGCGGCAAATCCCATTCCTCCCGAAGATGGTGCAGGCCAGCCTCCGGCCAATCAGAAAGCTTCTTCTATCACCGCTTCTGGCTACAAGCTGTTGGAGCTTCTTTTCCCGAGAGTTTCCAGCAGGGCGGGGGCGGGAGAGAACAATGATTGACATTTCTCCTGTAACCATTTGCCAAGCAGTATGAGCTTGAAGAGCAGATGCCACAACGAATTGTCTCACAAAAAAGGGCTGTACGCCCCGCCCTCCTCCTCCCACTGGGTCTCCCAGAGGCCTTCGGGGGTAGGAGCTTTTGGTGGCAGCCAATCAAGGGTCGGGGGGCGGGGCAGGTGGGCGATGCTTGTAGTGCTAGCGCGTTAGGCTCGGTGCTTCGGACGGCTGTGGTGGCTGGTGGCTTTTACCCGTCCGCCCTGCCAGAACGGCGTCGCCTCGCTTGCACCTTTCACGCTGCCTTCAGAGGCACTGAACCGGGTCCCATCTGGATCTCTAACCCTCTTCCCCAAACCACCCACGGGACCGTAGCTCCCGATATCCGCCCCCTGCCCAGTCCAGAAGTACAGGCCCCATCTATCCCCACCCCACCGCAGTCACAGGCCCCTTAAGAGTCAGCCTTATCCCCTGCCCTTTCTTTGGCCGGCCCGAGGCCCCCGAAGCCACCCCACCAACCCTTGCAGCAGCCGCGCTTCCCTTGTCTGGTTGGTGGTGGTGGTTGGTTACCATGGTGAAGCTAGCAGCCAAATGCATCCTGGCAGGTGAGTCCGAAAACTTGCGGTGAACACTGTGGTCTCCGGAGTCTACATGCTGCGTCATGTAGCGAGAGCTTTTGTTCACGTGATTGTGTACCCAGTTCCCTTTCTCGTTCCCAAACGTGAGTTAATGCAATTGTTGATGGAGTCGATTTCATTAGGCGTGAAAGAATTCTCTTCCAGCGCACATGTGTCGCTCCAGTAGCTCCACCTGCTCCCCGTCATACTCGGAGACCGCCTTCACCAGTTCGGGCTGTACTCAGAAGGAGCAGACTCGTTAAGAAATCAAGCTAAGCGAACCATAAGCATGTTTCAACTAAATCATTTGCTGTACCTCACCAAAAACACCAGTTGCGGGTGGAGTGGATTGCTTCTCAGGGAGACCCCGTGTGTGCAGAGTAGAACTGTACTCTGACCTTTTGGAACAGATTGCCAGGCCTTTCTTCTGAGGTGCCTCTGGGTGGGTTCTAACCTCCAACCCTACGGTTAATAGTTGAGCCGTTAACCAACCGTTTCTGCCACCCAGAGACTTATTGTACCCACAGTTAGGCACCAATGACTTCGGTAGTCTTTACTTATGGGATTTTCCCTAACCCCACCCCCTCTGATAGCCGGGATTGTGGTTCTTATTAGTTGCTGTCCAGTCGATTTTGACTCATGGCAACCCCATATGTGCCAAGTAGAACTGCTCCATAGGATTTTCAAGGCTTTGACCTTTTGGAAGCAGATTGCCAGGCCTGTCTTCCAAGGTGCCTTTAGGTGGGTTCAAACTGCCAACCTTTTGGTTGTAGTTGAGCACTTAACCATTTGCGCTACCCAGGGACTCCTGATAGCAGGGTTAGGAGACAGAAATGTAGAGGTGACCAGAGTTTGGTAAAGACTGACATACGTTGTCTTTAAGACCTAAAGATGCAGTGCTGTCCCACTCTCGGGGGACAGAAATCAATCTCCCAAAGGCAGGTATCTCTTTTGTTGACTGACACATTCCAAGCCCCTAGAACAATGCCTGGAACAGAGTAGGTGCTCAATAAATATTCGTAGAATGAATGACTATGGCATTCACATTTGTAGTGCCCCCCCCCCCTTTGTCATTCTGCACAGTTAGAAAAACAGCTGCCTGGATTATAGACTTATGACCACAGAACATGGACATATACATGCCAGACACATGTATGTCATTTAACCCTTTCACCGTAGCATGCTGGGGTAGGTGCACTGAGAGGTGAAATCTCCTGCTCAAGGTCACCCACTAGTGAAGGTCAGAGTCAGGATTTCAACCCCTAGATCTACCTGACTCCAAAACTCTTCACCTGAGTTAATATTGAAGCCTGTGACCTTGCAAGGGTTCCCTGACCAGCTCAGGAAAAGAAGCAGCCAGAGGTCATGACGAGAAAAATAAACTCCTTTTTGGCATTGTCCTCTCTTCCAGATTGAAAATAGATGCTAATATTTTTAATGACTTTTCTAATTCGAAATAAAAGGGTCACACAGAAAGATGACGGACAGCAGTAGCTCAAATCATATTGGAGCAGAAGAAATAAATACTCCTCAGGGGAGATCTGTAGTTTCCAGAGTGCCAGGGGAGGCAGTATTGTGTTAACGGAAATAATGCTAGCTGTTCCTCTTCTTGGCTGTGTCATCTTGGATAAAGCACTTCTCTGAGCCTCAGTTTCTTCACAGATAAGGTGGGAAAGTTTTTCATTTCTGAAGTTAGATTTTTTTTTTTTAAAAAAAAAGGGCTTCTCTTTGTCTCTCTGTTTAATTCACCTGTCCATTGTGGAGCTAACTTACTGAACAGTTAAACCCTGGACACAGATCGCCTCACTGAATTCTCCCAGCAGCCCTGTGGGTTTACAGGTGAGGTGTCTAAGGCCCAGAGAGGTTAGGACACTTGCCCTGGGTCACACAGCCAGAAACAGCAGAGCTGGAATGTAGAGCTAGCTGATCTGATTTCCAGGGCTTTGTTCTTAGCCCTATGCTATACTGGCCTCAAGCCTACCCTTCTTTACATCCACTCCCTCAGATACTTGTTTCATCTGATTTCAGCTACTGCCTGAGTAGGTAATTCCTGAACGCCAGCCTGCTAATCAGTCTATACCCTCTTTCCAAGGCCTCAAGGACATCTCCTCTTGGAAGTTTCTGGGGATCAAAAGACCTCAGCCTAGTGGATCAGCCACTACCATCTTTCATCTCCCATGTCCAAATTCTTGTTCTTCACTCTATCCTCACCATACACCCCCCTCACTGTGTTTTTCCTTTCACCCCTCACAGGCCTGTGCTTAAATTAAGTTTAGTCTGTCGTGCATCTCACATAACTGGTTATTGAAGAATCTGATGTTCAAGTGTGGACACATTCAACAGACATTTATTTAGCACCTACTATGTGTGCATCACCATGCAAGGTACAGTGGGAATACAAGGATGAATGAGCCCAGGCCCAAACCAAGGAAGCTCTAAGATGTGTGTTATAAGTTACAATACGGCAAACATGAATTGAATGTTCTCAGTGTGCCAGATACCAGAGAAGTACCTCAAGGCACAGCTGCTAATTGTTCAGCTGAACAGAGAAAACAACAATTGACATTTGTCTATATTTTATTTACTTAATAAACATCTAAATACCAAAACCAAACCCACTGCCATCAAGTCAGTTCTGACTCATAGCCACCCCATAGAGTTTCCAAGGCTGTAAATCTCTATAGAAGCAGACTGCCATATCTTTCTCCTGCAGAGCCACTGGTAGTTTCAAACCACTGTCCTTTTGGTTAGCAGTCGATTGCTTTAACTGCTGTGCCACCAGGGCTCCTTAAACACCTAAATACTACTTACTGTATGCCAGGCACAGTGGTTAAGCGCTTGGCTACTAACTGAAAGGTCAGCGGTTTGAACCGACCAGCCACTCTGCGGGAGAAAGATGTAGCAGTCTGCTTCTGTAAAGATTTATAGCCTTGGAAACCCTATGGGGCAGCTGTACTCTGTACTATAGGGTTGCTATCAATCAGAATCAACTCAATGGCAGTGGTATACAAATTAACTCATTAACTCTTCATAATCCACAAAATCTGTGCAGCTATTATCCCCATTTTACAGATGTAGCAACTGAGGCACAGAGAGATTAAGTAACTTAGCTAAGTCACACAGCTAGTAAGTGGTAGAGCTGGAGTCTGGCTCCAGAGTTTGTGCCCTTAAGTACTATGATAATATGGTTTCTCAATATATGTGGGGATAACAATAGTCTCTCTCCGTAAGACAGCTCCGACATCAAATGTCACGCTACCTGCAGTGAGTCCCATTAGCCATACAGGTGAAGGCAAAGATGAAGTAAAGAGATGACCTTCAGAGGCTGTGCAGGACAGACACTATTTGAGCTTTGCCTGGCAGAAAATGAGCAGGATTTGGACTTGGAAGGAGGTGGCCTTGAGGAATCTTCAGGGACCAAGAGAATAGGAGTGGAGCACCCAGATTTTGAATAAGGGGTAGTTGGAGAGAGAGTTGGAAGATGGGCTGAAGTTGACTGTGGAGAGGGGCAGGCAGTGGAAGGGATCGTTGATGGGTTTTGTGAGAGAGCCTGGCGGGGGAAAGCACTGTTTTATGATGGCCCATCTGGTGTTAGAACAGGGAGAGGGAAGTCTTCTCAGTGAAGAAGACAGAAAATGCATTAGTCATTTCAGCAGAGAAAGTCTGGTGTATGGAATTGGTCAAATAGGTGTCAGAGAACTGGAAAAGCAAGAAGGAGACATTGAGAGGACACGGAAGTGGTAGATGGCGGTCGGGGTTGTCAGAAACTTGGAGAAGAGCCTACAGAGCCAGGGTCTATACCTCTGAGGAGGGGCACTGCCAGCTGCTGCTGGAACCTCAGGAGCTGTAACCTGGCACGTGATGTCACCACGTGCTCCAGATCACTGGGACCCATTTCCCACTGGCAAGAAGCTCAGCCCTGTGTTCAGGGCAAAACACAACCAAAGCAAGTCCGCACCATCTTCGAGGGTCGGCATTTTGAGACCACTTCTGGGACCAAGTACTGCATATATCAGGGTCCAGGCAAAAAACAGAAGCTATGCTAGGTATCTCAACAGTGAGAATTGAATACAGGGTATTAATTAAACAGGTATTAGAGGACTGAAGAGACAAAACGGGACATTAAGACAGCACAGTTAGTAACTGCAGGAAGGAGCATCACCCCTTGCCTGAGGGCACTGAGGGAAGAGGTGGGGTTATCAGAACTAGAAGCTCAGAGGAGGGGCCCTGCGGGGCTGAGAAACAGATTTTTGAGAGGGGGACACTGCCTACCTAGTGCTGGGTCCTTTGAACAGCACAATAAGGATGGTCTTGTTGGGTACCACTGAGTCAATTCTGACTCATGGCAACCCCATGTGACAGAGTAAACCACCCATAAGGTTTTCTTGGCTATAATCTTTATGGAAGCAGAGCGACAGGTCTTTCTCCCTCAGAACCTCCAACTTTTCAGTTAGCAGGCGAGTGATTAACCAATTGCACCACCAGGGCTCCTTAAGTCTAGCTGGGGAGTGCAAAGGGAAAAAAAAAAACTAGAGCCAGGAACCAATTGCTGCTGTGAGGTGAAGGCCTTTGCGAGGATAACAGGAAGAGGAATGGGAAGAAGGAAGTACCCCTGCCCCTCCCAGCCTTCTGGTCTTTCTCTAGAACCCCCATGGGCAGAGCCTAACAGGAAGCCCCAGCAAGGGAGAAGCTGGGTTTGCAAACCCTGGCCCTGGCATCATGAAGCAGAGCAGAGAGGAAGTGGGTTTGGGGCTGAGAAAGAGAGCCCCGGATCTGAGGTAGCCAGGGCAGTGTTGGCCACAAGGACAAAGGAGATGTGTGCTTGAGATCCAGCAAAGGTGTGAAGAATGGGAAGGAGACCAGTGGATATAGGCAGGAAGGAGCAGTCAGAGGGTTGGAGGTGACTACAGCATATCTCTGAAGTCTGGAATCAGGGAGGATGAGGGCAGAATCAGGAACTGAAAAGGTGAGATAGGTCACCGGCACCTCTTAGGACCAGGCACAGCAGGAGCCTGCTGTAGACTGAGTTTGGGTGAAGGCCATCGTTCCAGTGGGAATGTCCACCAGTTGAGGGAAATACAGGAAAAGCTTGGGAGAGAAGCCTGGTTCAAGAAGTGACAGCTCAGGTAACGAGGGAAAATGGGATGGAGTGGAGTGGGAACAAGGAGCCCTGGTGGCGCAACGGTTAAGCGCTTGGCTGCTAACCAAAAGGTCGGCAGTTCAAACCCACCAGCAGTTCTGCAGGAGAAAAGACCTGGCAATCTGCTCCCGTAAAGATTACAGCCTAAGAAACCCATGGGGCAGTTCTACTCTGTCACATGGGTTTGCTGTGAGTCATAATCGACTCGACCGCACCTAACAACAAGGACTGGGGACAAGGCACCAAGCCAGACCCTCAGCAATGCCCACCTTTGAGAGGCAGAGGAGGACGAGGTACCTACCACCCATGGTGGCAAGAGGACGGCCAGGAGTGCAGGGCTGCCGCCACCATGAGGACAGAGGGCTGAGGCAGGCAGGACACTTCAGGGCTGGCTCACAGCCTTCAGAAAGTCAGGGAGGATGAGAACGGAGAAAAGACCGTCGGGCTTGGCAATTTTGAGGTCGCGGGTGACCTTCCTGCACGTGATTCCTGCTCTGTGCCAAGCATGGCCCCTCTCTGCTGTCAACCCAGGGCTCAGCCCCCACCCCTGGGGACATGTCTGCCACGCCGGTCCTCCTGTCAGCTCATTTCTTTCCTCAACACTCCCTGTGATGCTTGGGTTTTCAGCTTCTGCTATTTGAATTTGCACTTGTCGTCTTGTTCCGCAAACGAGTTTATCGGTTATTTCGCCTCCCTGTGCTCGGCTCACTCCTTGTAGCCAGCACAGGAGGTTTGCCATAAGTGTCGCTGACTCTAACTGACAGTCGGAGAAAGATTTATGAAATTAGCCAGAGCAAATCTGCAGGGGATTTCACAAGTGGGAAGAGCCAATTGCCAACTGGATTCAGAAGCAAAATTGGAGTTGGGAGGGCGGATGTAGTCACAGCATCAGGAAGGAAAGCTTGTGCTCTGTTTGCCCTGCAAGGGGTAGGTATCTGGTGCAAGTAGGGCTGTGGTGGCCCCAGATGTCAGGGACGCTGCAGTGATGGAAGTGAGTCGGAGTGGTCACTGCGCTCTGGGAGAGGATGAGAGAGAGCATGACACTGGAACCCTTGGCAGGTCACCCAGCTTCTCTGAACCTCAGTCTCCTCATCTGTAACACAAGTTTAATGATATTGACCTTAGGCAGGTGGTTTGGGAAGGGATGAATGAGATGGTAGGAAGCTTCCCTTCTATGGAAAAGCAAGACCTAACTGGCTTACTCAGACCTGGAGGAGTTAACATCCCATGAAATCCGCAAGCAGTCAAATCATTGTTTTCAAGAGAAAATTATAGGTGGGAAAAGTCAAAACTGAAAAGTGATCAGAGTGGCAGACTATCGAGAAGGCAAGGGAAGCGAAGTGTTGATGCTAACTTTAAAATAGGGAGTGAGGTGAAGAGCTTGTATCAGTGATGCCAGGCGAAGAGACGCAGTGTGCCGGGGGGCTGCTGAGGACCAAGAGGGTGGGAGAGAAAACAGGTGTGCTGTCAGGGGGCCGACTGATGGAGTACAAATCAGTGTAAGACTCTCAAGGTGGAAAAGAGATTACATCCAAAGAAGGCTGAGCCATCGGCGGCAAGGTGAGGAGGGCACAGGGGTTTAAAGATGCCCTAGAGAGCTTCTAGCACCGTCTATGATAGGAGGTCCTGGGGGATCCCCAGATAAAATAGTTCCCAGCAGCCTTCTGGAAGGTCCAGATCTCAGACTGAAAACAGTGACCTAAACCTTTAGTTCTGAGGTACTGATTTATGGGGCTGTGTCAGTTAGTGTAGCGCTGGTGGCACAGTGGTTAAGAGCTATGACTGCTAACCAAAAGGTCAGCAGTTCAAATCCAGCAGCCACTCCTTGGAAACCCTGTGGGGAGTTCTACTCTGTCCTCTAGGGTTGCTTTGCGTCGGAATCGACTCGACTGCAACGGGTTTTTTTATAGGAACAAAGGGAAGCTGAGAAGATAAACCCAGGAGGTGTAAGATGAGCTTGGAGGAAACAATTGCTGTTGCAATTCACGTTGGTGGAGAGGCCCCCAGGAGGACTAGGAAGATGCATCCTCTGTGTCACAGACAGGCATGCCAAGGTGGGGCTGGAGAACACCACTTGGAAGTGGATTTCTGGGTGGTGAACATAGCATCTGACTTCTTGCTTCCCAGAAATGCAGAACTGGAAACCCTCCCAACCCCTCTAGCATTCCCCTCACCTCCCCCCCACCCCCCGCAAAAAAAGTATTCTGGTGGAAGCTCCGAACTCAAATTGGCTCAAGTGATCAAATGAGTCTACAGCTGCCTGTGCCTGATCATAGCTCTTCACCTTCAAGACTTAAAAGTAAATTCAAGTTTAAAAGCAGCAGGCCATAGGGTGTGCTTCAGCCTACGTGTGTGAGTTCTGTTTCCAGTTCTCTAAAGCCCACCTTAAGCTCTGGTTACCTTCTGGGTCAATTTGTTTGGATGAAAGGATTAGCCTTGAAGAGATGTGGCTCCGGCCGTCGTGGTTGGCCTCACAGACGTGTTGCCCTGCCAGTGACCTCAGAGCATGTTCCTATGGGAGCCAAGTCCATTTCCTCTGGAAACTCCAAGTGGCTGGTTTCTAGACCAGTGTGCTGTAGTGGGAGGGTCTCCGGTCCAATCAGGACTGAAGTTGTGTTCTCTTCTCCCTTGACCTCGCAGGAGACCCGACGGTGGGCAAGACGGCCCTGGCACAGATCTTCCGCAGTGACGGAGCCCATTTCCAGAAGAACTACACTCTGGTGAGGTGTGGGGCCGGTAGGCCGAGCCACGGCTTACAGAGAAGGGATCAGGATTCCTTGAACAATCCTAAGAGACATGATGGGAGGCTGGGAGGCCACTGAAGTGGCCAAGAGGAGGTCATTCTCCCACGAGCCGCGCGGGGGCTGTCTGCAGGGTGCACTGACTGGTACCCGACACATGATCACCATGTGGGGCCGCTCTCCCGTGGGCGGGAGACTTTTGCAGTCTGGGCCACTTTTCTTGGAAGTGGGTGTAGAAGACAAAAGCCTAGGCTGGGGTTACTCCCCCGAGAGCTGGGGTGTCCATTGTACCCTCCTATAATGCCCCCTCAGGGCCCTCTGACAGCCAATCTCCGGTTTTCCTCGGCAGACAGCAGGGGTGGATTTGGTGGTGAAGACAGTGCCAGTTCCTGACACGGGTGACAGCGTGGTAAGTGGTGCCCATCACCTGTGGGAACACCATGCTTCTCCAGCTGGGTCCCAGGGTCCCCATGGTCCCCATCATCCTCCTATGAGAGGCGGTACAAGGACTTGCTGAGATGAGTCTGAGCGTTTGGAAACAGTCACTGAGCGCAGGGAGCATCCTAGAGAGGGGCCAGGTGTCTGGGGGACATAACGAAGACGAGACCAGGATAGGGGCCTTGCCCGCAAGGAACTTGTTATCTGGTATGAAAGTTCTTAACTGGGTCCCTCCTTGGGAATACAGGAACTCTTGAAATTGATTTGCAAGATGTATGTTTGTATGTTCTTTCCTTGAGGGAGGGTTTACAGCTTTCGCGAGATTCTTAAAGGGCCATGATCAAGAAAATTTAAGCACCCTGATACCATGAGAAGAGGCGAGGGCACAGATGACCAATGTGCCAAGCAGGTCATGGTGCTGATGTTCAGACAGTGTGTCTGGGGGTCTGAGGGTCAGAAGCCAGCAGGGGGCATCCTGGCAGGGAGAGCGCTCAGGGGTAAGATTAGGGAGGACACAGAGGGGCCTCCACATGGGCTGGCAAGGCATGGATGGGACAAAGAGGGTCATTGGTGCCCTCTGTCAGACCACCCCTCTGCCATCCTGGAATGATGACAGACTGCCCTACTTTAACTGCCTTCCCCGGGCCTGTGTGCTGACCTCCTTAAAAAGAATAGTTTTAAGATTTGAAAATCAATTTGGTTAACAAAGTGCAAAATGACCTTTTGGAAACCAGAGCACTTGTCAGCCTGTTTAGCATTCTGTTCTGCCAGGTGGGAAGGCAACCTGCTCCTGGTATTTTTGCACTCAGTGTTAGGAGAGGTGAGAAGTCTCAGACGTGTTGGGTTATGCAGGAGACCATTGCTGCCTCAGAGACTCTTGAGCTCATTCCTTTCCCATCATCTTTTTTATGCCATGGGGAGAGAGAGTGTTGTGAAAATGTGCGTGTATGCGTGTGCGTGCACACGTGTGTGTCTGCAGTGAGCCGAGAGTGATATGACACACAGCCGGTGGTTTCCACACGTGTAGATTGTCTTGGGACGTGCCTTCCTTTTCTTTTTTTAAAGTCGTGATCAAGATTTATGGTATTGGTAGCACTACTTTTTTATTTTTCTTGTTGTAGTAAGTATATATATAACAAAACATTTGCCATGTTGAGGTTTTTACCTGTATAATTCAGTTATGTTAATTACGTTTGTCATGTTGTGCAACCATCACCACTGTCCATTTCCAAGTTTTTCCATCACCTGGGACATGCTTTTCTGGTTCCAGGAACTCTTCATTTTTGACTCCGCCGGCAAGGAGCTGTTTTCTGAAATGCTGGATAAATTGGTAAGTAGTGTGCAGTCTTTTTCCTAACCACCACCCCCACCTCCTGCCAAAAAAGTGTGCCCTTTATTACGCTCGCAGAAATGTCCCTGCACTGTGGTGGTCGAGAGAAGCTACCACAGCAGAATTCTTGAAGGGGCAGTCCTCCCAGCCTTGGGACTGGTGGCCACTTGGCAAGCAGGGGTAGCATGCACGAGTCTCCCTGCCCCCCAGCTCTGGAATGGCCAGGTTCCACATGTGCCAGAAGCTGTGTGCCTCAGGCCTTGCACCCCATTCCCAGTCTGGAGCTGCCCTTCTAAGTACCTGTTCCGATGGTGCTCCTTCAGCACCCTTCTCAGCCTTCTAGGACAGTCCCCAGTGTCCCCTTTGCCCCAGGAGCACCCAAAACCAAAACACCAAACCAATGCTGTCAAGCCGACTCCTGGTGCCCCCGTGGGTGTCAGTGTAGAACTGTGCTCCATAGGGTTTTCAGTGGCTGATTTTTAGAAATAGACCACCAGGTCTTTTTTCCAAGGCGTCTCTGGGTGGACTCGAACCTCCAGCCTTGTGGTTAGCTGCCGAGCGTCTGTTTGGACCGCCCAGGGACTCCTAGGAGTGCTCTAGAGGCACCATAATGAGGTTCACTTCTCGGCCTATCCCTTGGGTTGGGGGCACCAGGGCTTCCTTGGGGACATCCCACTGGGGCTTGCGCCGGGAAATGCCCCATGTGCTGCCCAGGGTACATTGTGCCCTTGTCCTCGCCCCTCCCGCCCAGCCACCTCTCAGGATCCAGCATGCTGTCCCTTCTGAGGGAACAGTTTGGCTAATCCGGGCCTATGAGCTCATTAGAAGGTTGGGTTCTCCAGAGCCCTCCCCTCCTCTCCAAGAAGAGCTTTATTTTAATTGAAACTGTTTTCTGCTCTTTGTTGTTGTCTCATTCAGAGAAGTAGCTCTAATGATGGTCATTTCACACAGGGCTGGCTCATGCATAGATTCATGATGCTTACAAAGTGCCTACTGTGTGCATGGCCTGGCACTAGGTGCTGCCATGCCAGGCAGAAGGGGGAGGATGGGCAGTAAGGGCCCCGCTGCCGGTCACCTCACACCTGCCCCTAGCCAGCCTGTCTCAGGACTTTTTCTGCTCCAGCTTGGTCCCAGGCATTTCCTGGGTTCTCTCAGCAGGGCGAGAGAAGGGAGGCTTGTTGACGTTAGGCCATGCCGAGACGTCTCCTGTGTGCAGTGGGAAGGTTCAGCATGGTTGTGGCGGGAAGGCGTGACATGTAGGGTTGAATCCCAGCTTCTCTTCCTGAACTCTGGGAGCCAGCGTAACTTTAGTGGGTGGGGACCAAGCCCTCCAGAGCCAGTCCTGGGCTGGCCTTCCAAGGACAACTGGAAGGAAAAGGACTCTTCCCTACCTAAAACAAAACAAAATAAAACTCATTGTCTTCGAGTCAGTTCTGACTCATGGCAACTCCACGTATTACAAAGGTTTTCTTGGCTGTCATCTTTTATGGAAGCAGTTCGCCAGGCCTTTCTTCCACAGAGCAGCTGGGTGGGCTTGAACCACCAACCTTTTAGTTAGCAGCTGATCACAAGGCTGCCCGGGAGGTTACTGATGCCCCATAAATAAGCCAGGTGTTAATTGTGCGGGATGGGGCTGCCCAGATACCAGAGCGTGGCCAGGAGGAGTCCCAGACAGCAGGTGAGCAGCCACAGCCAGGATGTACTGGGACTCAGAACAACCCCTGAGACCGTAGCCTGGAGTCATTGGGAGGGTGAGCCCTGTCCAGTCTGGTCTGATCTGGTTTGGATTAGGGTGGTGCAGACCCTGCAGGAGAGCCATACAGTGCTGTTTGCACTGGGAAGATTCAACCCTGTGGGGCAGCTCTACTCTGTCCTATAGGGTTTCTGTGAGTTGGAATCAACTCGACAGCAACGGGTTTGGTTTTGGTATTAAGAAGATGCAAGCAAAGCAGCTCCCAGAGACAGAAGAATGAAAGACAAAATCGTCTTTCAGGCCTGCAAACCAGAAAAGCGTAGCTCCCGGCACCATCGTAGGCCCTCCACAAAAATGAAGGGAAGAGTGAATTAATGAAACCAAGGGCAGAGGCAAGCAGTCTGGGCAGAGAAGAGCTTAGGTCCTACCCCGTCTGTGTTTGGTTTGTTTGTTTAAAACATGCAAGTTAGTTACCTTCTCTGCACTGGGTTTCTTCAGCTCCGAAGTAGAGATCTTCAGCTCCGAAGTAGAGATCTTCAGCTGCAAGGCTGTGAGGTTTCACAACCTCCTGCAGGAAACCCCCAGGAGAAAGCCTGGTGCAGTCGTGAGTGCGCACCCTGGTGTGGCTGCATCCAGCCTCCCACCACTGAGCCTGCCTCCCATTCACTCCTTTGGGTGAATTGCGGGTGTGGTTCAGTTCTCTGACTCATGGCCCCTTTACAGTTTTTCATTTTCCTCCACCCACATACCGCTTCCTCTGGAAGGCCAAATTGTCTTTCTGCCGGGAACTCACTGTCACTGTAACTGACATGCACCCATCCTGTCCCTCTGCACAGTGGGAGAGTCCCAATGTCTTGTGTCTCGTCTATGACGTGACCAACGAGCAGTCCTTCAACAACTGCAGCAAGTGGCTGGAGAAGGTGCGGTCACAGGCCCCAGGCAGCTCCCTCCCAGGTGGGCATTGTGGATGGCTGGGCTTCCCAGCAGCACCTCTGCCCTTCCAGAGCAAGAGGTCATTGCAGAGGTCGCTGTGGGTACGAAATGGGGCGCCCCAGGCTTGGAGTTTGATGGCCTGGGTTGTACACTGGCTTAGCACCTTAGCAGCCACACAAACCTCAGTGAGTTACCACACGTCTCCGAGTCTGTAAAATGGGAGTAATGCCACCCACCTTGCAGGGTTGAGCGGAGTCTCAAGATAATGAGGGGGAAGGTGCTGTCGTCCGAGTTGTTATTTCCAGAAAACTGGCCATTTTCTCGTGTGGAGGGCACAAGTAAACATTCATGTCCTGTTGTCACTTTGGAATACTTTAAATCAGTTTATTTTTCATCCCTGTGTGAGATCAACAAATTCTCCTCATTACAGACCAGGGAACGCCATCTCCAGAGACAGACGGAAAAATTAGCTGCAGCCAAGGCAGCTGGTAGCAGAGCAAAATTACCTCAGAGTCCCTGACTCTCAGCCCAGGCCTCATATTAGTACTAATGGCCATGTTTTGAAGTTTGCCCCATGTGCTAGGAATTAACGCAAATGCTCAGGGAAAGCGGGCCCTCACCATCACTAGCTTGCAGCCTTAAGGAGACAAGGCAGACAAACACCCATGAAGTCTGGAAAAAAGGCTGAGCAAAAAAGTTGTGTGTTAAGAGCACAGCCCCCCAGTCCTCTCTGTGGCCCTCAGGAGTCCATCTTGCATCAGGCAGGTGTCTATCATGTGATGCTTTATGCCCCCCACAACCCGTGTGCCTGCTCTTATCTCTCCAGCTGCACTCCCAGACTGCCACAGTTAATGTGATGCTTTTGGTTGTTTCTTTTGAGTAGGTGTTTTAGTGGGAAATAAAACCGACCTGGCCAGCAGACGAGCGGTGGAGTCGTCCCAGGCCCAGGCGTGGGCGCTGGGCCAAGGCCTGGAATGTTTTGAAACATCCGTGGTAAGTACCTCCGCTTGCTTCGGCGCCAAGTCTGGAGTGGGCCTCTGCTGGAAGCAGCTTTTCACACAACCTTGCATGCGTCGAGTTGCTCTTCCGCCATATGCAGCGTTTCATTTGGAACCGATGTTTACGTCCTTAGCCCAGGATATTTTCCCAACGTAGCAAGAGCCACGCACGCATTACAATGAAGCACGTTATTCAGCCAGCCCTGGAGAAAGCTTATCTCAGTAAGAAATGCAAGTGTAATGTGTTCAGTTATAGTAGCCCTTGACATTGGGGTGAGATGTTATAGGCTACAGTGTGCTTGAACATTGTTTCATTGAACCCCCACATCAACCCTGGATGCAGATGTTGGCCCCATGACCCCCACTTCAGTGTTGAGATGGTCAAGTGACTTGCCCACAGTCACATGGCTAATGAAGGATGGGGCAAGGACAAGAGTCCATGTTTTCTAATTTCCACCAGGGCTCCTGTCCCCAGCTTGCTGCTGCCCCAGGTGACCCCAGGCCACTGAATGCCCTCCAGTAGAGTCAGCTGGACACCTAATGAAGTACAGAATCAGAGGAATTTGTTACCAAAACCAAACCTGTTGCTGTTGAGTCGATTCTGACTCATGACAACCCCAAATGTGTCAGATAGAACTGTGCTCCATAGGGTTTGCAATGGCTGATTTTTTGGAAGTAGGTCACCAGACCTTTCTTCCAAGGCACCTCTGGGTGGACTCACACCACCAACCTTTCAGTTAGCAGCTAAGCGCTTAACTGTTTGCACTACCCAGGAAAACATATGTCACGATGTTTGGCTGCCCAGCACTGTTGAGACCCTTATGGAGGCTCCACCCAGCAGATGTGCTCGTGGGGGTCTGCACTATGGAAGGGAGCCAAGTGAAGGTTCCACCCCTGCAGGAGCAGCGGGGGTTAGGGGCTGGCTCCTGTGCTCCTCCCCGGGTTGCTGGGACAACCTGCTAGGCCTGTTCCTCTGATTATAACATGGCCCTTGCTCCTGGCTTTGTGGCCTCCAGACCTGGTTCTTGGGCCTCCAAAAGAGTTAATGGGCTAACTAATACCCTGGAGGGCCTTTTTGACCTTACCTCTCGTTCGGCTATAGTGGCTTCTGCAGTGGTTTCATCTACGAAATTGGACTGTTGCTGCTGTTCAGTAGCTTATATGGATGTGAAGGAGTCCCCTGGGTGGTGCAAACGGCCAAGCACTCAACGACTAGCGAAAAGGTTGATGGTTTGAACCAGAGCTTCATACTGGTTCATTCCAGTTCGAACCCTTGCTGAGAATATGCATTTCCACCCTCAGATATACTGAATCAGAATCTACAGTTTAACAAGATCCCCAGGTGATTCTTATGTGTGTATATATAAGAATCACCTGGGGATCTTGATGACTTGTGTATACATAAGAATCACCTGGGATTCTTGTTAAAATGTAGATTCTGATTCAAAAGCAGGTGCTGTGACCTCCAATGGTGAGTAGCAGGACTAGCTTTGTGACCTCACCATGTTAGTTAACCTCTTGGTGCCTCAGGCTCCTCATCTGTAAAATGGGGATAATAAAATATAGCCCCCACTAAGTAATAAATATGAGAAATAAGATGGCGAATAGAAAAAACATTTAGCTGGTGAATGTAAAAAGCCTGGGGCATAGGAAACAATAAATGTTAGCTTTCTTTTAAATATAAATGCCCCCCCCCAAGTAATCTTGTGTGTACTATTATTATTAAATCCTTATATTCATAGATGTACAAAGATAAATGTCACCTTGCCTCTGGCCCAATTATCACAAATGCTAAATTAATGAAGTTCAAATTAGTGAGCTTCTACCGTATAGAAGATTCCTCATCTTTTATACAGCATGCCTTTGAGCAAAGCAGTAAGCCCTCCTACCCACCGCAGTGTTTCAGTATTCCCTCTTCCTCCATTCACATTGGAGAAATTGTCCCCTCACCCCAGTATCCCATATTTGCCGGCCCTCTTGATAAAACTCAAAAATTAAAACCCAGCCTAAACCATCAGTCAACCACAGGCCGCTGGGCTGCATGTTTAAACCCTGTTCAGGTGTTGCTGCGCTACTGAAACGAGTAGGTATAAATTATGCTTGAGGAGGCTGCAGTTAAGTACTTGGTATTAACTGTGCAAGTTAACTAGTCCCCGCTGAGTTGATGCTAACAGAAGCACCACTGGCAGCTCGGTTAAGAAAGCTGTAATTAAAAGGGAAATATAACCAAATGCTGCTTGAGACGCAGCCAAGTCTCCGTGCCAGGCCCATCTCCTCTTTTCTTACTCAATGCAGTGGCAGTCCTCTTGCTGACCCAGAGGAGATGCCTGCATGCTTCTCTGACTTCCAAACCCCTCGCTATTTGGACATTTCAGGCCAAAAAAAAAGAAGCATTTCTTTAAACAGAGTTAAAATTAATAAAGTAAAACAGTGTTCATCCCTGTAAGAAGCTAGCTAATATAAATACAAACAAGTTTAAGGAAAATCCACATGGATCACTCACCTCACGGGGAGGTGAGGGGAAGGGAACGAACGCTTGTTGGGTGCCAGCTGTGCACCAGGTGTTTTGCGTGCATTACCTATTTCATCTTCCTAACAGCCCTACCACGCAGCTGTTCCTGCCCTGTTTTACAGGTGACCAGCAGGCTCCAAGGGGTTATGTTGCCTTCCCTGGTGGCTCAACTAATGAGAGTTAGAACCAGGGCTGGAACTCAGGCCTGCCCAGCTCCTGGGCCTTCTAGAAGGGTGCTCTGGGTGGCATGGGGGAGGGCAGCTGTAGCCTCCCACAGAGCTACTTTGAGACTCTCAGGGACAGAATTCTAGGCCCGGTCAAGCGCTCGTCTGCACCTGCTCTTGGGATACCTCACTCTAAGCAAGCCCACTCTAGAGGTTTCCAAAGTATACCAGTGAGATTATGTTTAGTCCTTTAAGAAAAGGATTCCTGTGACGGACAAGCCCTCTGAATGCACCTGGAAAATGGTCCAGTTTACATGTGCTATTTCAGGAGCACTCCTAGGGGTATACTGAGGCTCACCTGCATTGAATTCCATTCTTTTCATGTTGTGTTCTACCAAGCTCTTGCTTTCAGGAGCTTTAGAATTCAATTAGAAATCTTTGTGTTCTCTTTTCAGTCAACATTTAACTGTACTTAAACTGATGTAACATTTTACCATTGGGCATTGGTGTTGCTGAGGACATTATGCTCTAGCAAACCCAGGTACCTGGCAGATAGGATAGTGACTCCCCTTATGTCTGGCTGGAGAGTAATGCCCACAGGCCTCTGTAGTCATGAGCTTGTACAGATACTTATCTCAGCTATAAGCTGACCCTCACTCCTGAGACAGTGTTCGGATTACCACACCTGTTTTTACTCTTGGCCAACTGGTTTCCTTTGCCTTGGGGTTTCCCTTGCTAGAAAGTTTAGGTAATTTTCTCCCCTGAAACAGGTGTCCTTTCACATGATCTGCCCTCCTGGCTGGCAGAGTGGAAGGTGGCTTTTCTCGAATGAGGGGATCTGGATTCCCCTCATTGTGCTGGGTGTGCTGCCACTTTGCCACTTGGGCCCTGGGTTGTTTTTTTTGTTGTTGTTGTTAGTTGCTGTCAAGTCAATTCCAACTCATATGACCCCATGTGTGCAGAGTAGAACTGCTCCACAGGGTTTTCAAGGCTGGGACCTTTCTGAAGCCAATTGCCAGGCCTGTCTTTCAAGACGCTGCTAGGTGAGTTCGAACCTCCAGCCTTTCAGCTAGTAGTCAAGCGTTTAACCATTTGTGCCACCCAGCGACTCAGGCCCCAGGTTACTCATCTGCAAAATGAACGCACTGAACTTGATGGCTTCTGTCGCCTTCCTCAGCTGGGAAAGTGTTTCTTTTTGATGGGAACATTTCTCTGTCTCCTGTCGAGGCTGCACTTTTGCAGTTGCCGCAGATGATTTCAAAACAGCTTCTTTTACATTCAGAGCTTGAGCTGCTGTCTGAAAGCAGTGCATTCTTTCTTCTGCCAACTTATTTCTTAAAACAAAATTTAAATACACACACAGAGAGAACACGAGAACAATAGCTATTAGATTGAGTGCAGTTGGATTTTCTTTCCCCTGAGCCTGTCCTCACTTACCTTGGGGGACTCCTTCTCACCCACCCCTTAGACAAAACCCAGGGAAAGTTCCCTAACTTTCCTGACCTCTCTCAGATGAGAAGTCCTTTGGGCACCTTTAGCCATAAAATGCATCATTTCAGTTATTAAAATGCCCAGTCCTGGGTAATTGTCAAAATTCCAAGTTTGATTTGAAATCAGAGCTGCTTCCCTGTCTAGCCCAGCGGCTGTGGAAAAGTGAGGCCAGGCTGGCTTCTGTTTCCCCACTGCCCTTCTTCCCCCAGCTTGTGGTCTAGGGGAGGGATGTGGAGCGAGGGCTGCAGTGTTTTTGCCGGGATCAGCTTTGGCCTCTCTGGACTTGTGGGGTGTCTTCAGAGGTGCCCCCTGTCAGTGGATCTCCCCCACCTGCAATTTCCCTGATGCAGGTGGTCCCTCCTTGGGCCTCAGCTCACCCCTCCTGCAGCCTGGGTTCCTGGCAGTCCTTCCTGTGGGGACCTATCGCCCTCTCGGTGGCTGGCTGTCAAGTCCCTTTAAGGGAGCTCCAGGCTGGCACTCCCGCTTGGCCTCAGGCTTTCTCTTGAACCCTCCCACTGAGCTCAAGGTGAGGGAGAGATGCCCCCCCCTGGGGAAGATGCCCTCACACTGAACAGCACTAACCATTTTCTCAAAGAAATTCTCTCTGCTCTCTTCACCCATGGCCCTTTATGCCCCTTGTGGGGATGGGGGTGGGCTCACTCTTGTCTGGGCCTCCCTCTTCAATGTGGGGGCCCTTGCCATCTGTTATGTTGCTTTGGCCTGTGGGGCCTCAGTTAAAACTAAGCGAGAAACAGTCTCATTTTAACAGCCCACCACCCATCTACTGAGAGTGGTTGAAGTACAGGCACTGTAGAAACAGACCCAAGTTCAGTGGCTGTTGGCAAGTTACCTTAATCTCCCCCTACCTCAGTTTCCTGCTTGTAAAATTGGCATAATGATAGTCACACCCCCAAATGTTGTGAAGATGAAATGAGGCAAATTGTATATAGCGCCTGGTAAGCATTGGGCCCAAGCTGACTTTCTTTGATGCTGATAAAAATAACATAACCCACTTCTTAAACTTCTCTCTGCAGAAGGAGATGGAAAACTATGAAGCCCCTTTCCACTGTTTGGCCAAGCAGTTCCTCCACCTGTACCGGGAGAAGGTGGAAGTTTTCCATGCCTTGGTGTGAAGGTCTGGGCAGCTTGTTCCTTATGACGGTGCAGCGGGGACTGCTGTGAAGCTGGCAGGGGCTCTGTCTCCTTGAAAGATGAGAGGAGATGGAATTGCCTCTGCACTTCCAATATATATGACAGCTTTAAATAAAATTAGATGAAATGTAGCCGCAGCAGCTCTTTCCGTTCTTGGCTGGGGCAACCCTGGTTCCATTTTGCACTTTGGCGGCTGTAGGACAGCCAGCTCCAGAACAGCCCTAGAGTCAGGCTTGGAACATTCTGTGATGGACGGGCCCTTGTAGGGATCATCCCTGGGCTAGTGCTATAGTCTTTTGCCTTGTTAGAGTGGGTGGTCCTACCCACTCTGGATGGCTGGGTGGGCTGGGCCCTTCCACCAAGAAAGCATACCCCACAGCTGGTCTACAAGCACCTGGAGCAGCCTTTGCTTAGTTTGCTGCAGTTGAAATGCTTGGCTTGGAACTTGCTGCATGGTTGAGATGAGGCCCATGTCCCTCTCCTTTCCCAGTCGCTAACTGACAAATTTCTTTCTGCTGGCAGTCCAGATGCCAGAGTTCCCCTGCAGTGGCCACTGTCGGTGACAACACAGTGCCCTCTGCCGGCCGCCCCTGGTGCCTCTCTCTTAATGAGGGGCCCAGCCTCTCCCAGCTGCCGGGAACCCTGGGTGCACAGGGAGCCAAGAACCACTGTCTCTAATGACCCTCCTCTGGCGAGCTGGGCAGGAGTCGTCACTCTACACTGAGCTTGGCCGTTCCATCCCGTCCACTGCTGCCAGATTAATCTTCCTAAAACACCACTCTCCTCCTTGCTCTCCCTGATTAAAGACCCCCGGAGGCTCTTTGCCGCCTTGCCGTCAGGGCTACAGCCTCTGCCTGGCTGCTGAGGCCTTCTCTACGGTCACCCTCACCCACGGGTCCGGCTCTCCCAGCCCTAAGTCCCCAAGGTTGTCCTCACCCTCCGTCAGTCCCTGCGCTTCTTGCTCAGAGGGTGGGGATGTCCTGGAAAGACCACCAGCTTTGAGGCAGACACCTGGGTTTGTCCCCATGACAGTGATAGCAGTGGGATCACTCGGGATCCTGTGTCTGACCTGTCATGTCGGCATGTACTAGCCACGTTACATGTATGTACTCATTTAATCCTCGAAACATAGAGTCTGTGATCCCACATCTACAAATGAGGAAACAGAGGCAGAGGGTTAAGTAACCTTGCCGAGTTCCTGCACAGGGGTGGCAGAGCCAGGATTATGGATTCCAGAGCTCAGCTCACGGCCACCACCCTCTTCTGCCTCCTCAAGAGAGCCTGGCCAGGAGCAGGGGGAGATCCCATAATCTGCAAAGGGCCGTGACGAGGCTGCTTCTCATGGCACTGTGAGAAGGGAAATAGTGTGTGGAAGCATCCTGGCACATGGTGTCATCACCATCGCGCCAGCACTCCCCCTTCCTCTTCCTGTTCCTTCTCAACACAAACTCACGGTGGCCCCAGCTGTCTTACTGAGTCATGCTTTCAGAAGATGTTGACCCAGGGCCCACCGTGGGCATTGTTCTAGGCACTGGGGACGTGGCAGTCAGCACTGCTAAGCTGACGATCTGTCACATGTTCCAAAGGGAAGACTTGCACTAGACAGCCAAGCGGACGTGGAGGGGACGTTTCCGGTTGCCCTAGAATTGGTAACTAGGGCCCACAGCTGTGGACAAAAAGAGATGCTAAGTAACCCACTTCCTAAAGAGATCACAAAAAGTTGGGGCCAGATACTTTCCCCAGGGCTAAATAGGAGGTGGCAGAACTGGCCCGCTGCCACTGCCCAGCCCAACCCCTCCGCTCTTCCGTTTATACAAGAAAACGGGAAAGAGAGGAGGGGAGGGCAGAAGGGGATGCAGTGTTGGGAAGTGGGGGCCCCCTCCGTACCTGGCTCCATCCCCCAGGATCAAGCAAAGGAGACCCCAAGAGAGTCCTCCTGAGGCTGCACTCCCCAGTGGGATGCTCACTCAACTGCTGGAGCCTGGTGCCAACTGCAGGCATGGGGTGGCCAGGGTGCCCTTGGGGGAGCTTGGTCTGCTCCCCTGGAGCGGTGCCTGCCTCCCTTCACAGGGCCCAGAAGCTTCAGGGTGGAGAGGCTTGGGGAGGAGCCTGCACTGCTAGCAGGGAGAGCAGAGGCAGTGGCATAGTGTGCTGGGAAACGTGTCACGCAGGTGCCCCACCTTGGTTCTGCGTGACCCTCAGAAGGTTTGTCTCAGGACCGATTCCTGTGACTCCGCGTGGGAGGGGTCAGTCGGCTGCCCAGACACTGGGCAAAGCCAGCTGCCTCCTCCACCTGGAAAAGCACCGGGCCTGTCCCGCTGGCAGGGCTGCTGAAGGGAGATGTGGCTCCCTGGGCATCAGAGGAGGCTCAGCCCCCAACAAGCAGCAGAGATCACCACTGCATCTGGTGGAGCCAGACCAAGCCCGGGCCTGTTGGGGAAACGGAGTGGCCCATCCTCGGCTCTCCATTCCAAGGCACCCAGATGGAGGAAGAGAAAGGGCTTGCTCCCCTCCCCACCCTATGGAAAGGAGATTTGAACAAGATTTGGAGTTCTGAGCTGGACTGGTGTTTGTTTAAGGACCTGCCATGCAGGCCCAGCAGGAGGGGAAGTTGGCACAGTGTGAGAGAATGCAGCAATTAGTAAAGTAAAATGTTCAGGTTTGTAGCCCACTGTGTAGAGATTCCCCAGTAAACTGGCTCCACCAGTAAATTAATGATCAAGATTGTTTCAGACAGCGCTAATACGGTGCAGACAATAAAACAGAGCTGGGGTAGGTGGTGATTTGTGGGCTAACTGGGTAGGGTGGGCAAGGAAGGACTCTGAGGAAAAGGGGGCATTTGAGCTGAGATCTGAAGGTTATGAAAGAGCTGGTCATGTGATCGTCTGGGGGACGAGCCAGTGCAAAGGCCCTGAGGTACAAACAAGCTTAGAATGCTGAGAAACTTAGGGCTGGTAAAGATGTAGTTGGGTGTATGCCAGGAAAAGCAGCAGGAGTTGAGGTAGGCAGGGGCCTCATTGGGAGGAATTTGGGTTTTATCCAAAGGCAGCAGGAAGCCAGTAGAGGACAGGCATCCTAGCTTGTATATCCTCATAGTTCCTGGCACTAGTCTGGGAACCTAGTAAGCAGGGCTTCCAACCCCATTCCAGTTTGAACTCCTGCTGAGAATTTGCATTTCTAACAAGTTCCCAAGAAGTTACACATAAGAATCACCTGGGGATCTTGTTAAACTGTAGATTCTGATTCAGTATATCTGGGGTGGAAATGCAAATTCTCAGCAGGGGTTTGAACCAGAACAAATGGGCTTGAAGCCCTGCTAATAAGTGGTTAGGAGCCCTGGTAGCACAACGGTTAAGCACTCAGCTGCTAACCCAAAGGTTGGCAGTTCAAACCCAGCCAGTGGCTCCATAGTAGAAAGACCCGGTGATCTGCTTCTGTAAAGATTACAGCCTAGAAACCCCTATGGGGCAGTTCTACTATGTCACATAGGGTCGCAATGAGTTGAAAATCAACTTGAGGCACACAACAATGACAATAAGTGGTTACTAATTACTCTGCTTGCCTAAGACCCTGTTCTCAAGGGGGAAACATTTACAAAATAACATACTGCGTCTGCAGATTTCATTCCTTCAACAGCATTTACTGAGCACCTACTATGTGCCGGTCCCTGTTCTAGGTAGTAGGGATTTATCAGTGAGTAAAACAGTTGATAACCCTCCACACCCCATCATCAGTTTGTAGTACTGTGGTGGCTTGTGTGTTGTGATGCTGGAAGCTATGCCACTGGTATTTCAAATACCAGCAGGGTCACCTGTGGTGGGCAGGTTTCAGTGGAGCTTCCAGACTAAGACTAGGAAGAATAGGCCTGGTAAGATACTGCTGAAAATTAGGCAACGAAAACCTTATGGATTACAACAGAACAATATCTGACTCACTTGTTTTGGACCTGTCATCAGGAGGGATCAATGCTGGAGAAGGACGTGGTAATTTGGTGAAGAAGAGGGCCAACACGGGCGTGGGAGACACTCAGTAAGATGGATTGGTGCAACAGCTGCAATGATGGACTCAAACCTGCTGGCGATCATGAGGATAACGCAGGACCAGGCAACATTTTGTTCTGTTGTACATAAGGTCGCCACAAATTGGGGTTGACTCAATGGCAGCTATCTATCTGTCTGCCTGTCTGTCTATCCATCTAGCTATCTAAAACAGACAAAACTCCCTGTCCACAGGGAGCTTACGTTCTAGTTGGGTAGAAGAGATGTTCAATTTAACAGGTAAAGTATACAGTTTGCCAGGTGGTAATAGATCAAGGAAGGGCGGAGGGCATGCAGGTAGGGGAGATTTGCAATATTCAATAGGGAGGTCAGGGAAGACCTCACTGAGAAGATGATATTCAAGCAAGGTTTGAAAGAGGTTGGGGTGACTGGTGCCCTCCGGGCATGGATGGCTCATTGGTCCCCTCAGAGATGGCGCTTGATGACTGTGGCCCACTGTCCACTCTCCTTCCCCCGAGCCTAGCCTTAGTCAAAGGAGCACTATGAACACTTGGGGGATCCTGCATTGAACAGGACTTGGACCCTCGAATCGCCTGTTATCCATGGAGGAGAAAGATGAGCCAACCCTTGACTTCTCTACCCACCGGAACCCAAACAGCACCCCAGCCCCAAACGCTGCAGGCAGGCAGGGAACCAAGCCCTTCCCCCCTGCCTCCTTTGGGGTGGTGAGGGAGGTTCTCTTCATTTCCTCCATGGCTTCCTTCCTCCTGTGAAGCCTGGTCTGGGGCTGGGCTGGCCTCTGTGTGTGTCCTCCTCCCTGGCTCAGTGAAGCTGACAGTTCTGCAGCATCCTTTGCCCCTGGTGACATTGCTTGGGTTCACCCACCATGAGCACAGGGAGGCCAGGTGAGGGGGAGGCAGGAACACACAGCAGGCCAGCTGCATTTTAGAGTGGACCTTCAGAAACCCAGGAGTCTCTGGGTGGTGCAAGCAGTCAATACACTCATCTGCTAACCAGAAGGTGCCTCAAATAAAAGACCTGGCTATCTACTTACGAAAAATCAGCCATTGAAAACCCTATGGAGCACAGTTCTACTCTGACACACATGGGGTTGC